TAGGGTATCATTTTTCACAAAACTGACTAGTTGGTTGAAGATTTTATCTAGACAAAGGAAACCAGGAATTGCCTCTCAAAAATATATATAAAAAAAAATCAAATCCTCTCTGTTTATACTCTATATAAACGATTTACTGAACTACCTCTTTAGATCGCTCCTTGTCATGATAGACGGATGTTGGCTGGTGTTGTAAACTTCAATTTTATTTGTAACGCTATTACGCACTTAAAACAAAGACTTGTACTGGATGACGATCTTTCGATAGATTCCTCTCCTTTCCTTTCAGTTCTAAAGCAAGTCGTATTCACTAAATCTCTCGGCGTTTATATCGATGAATACTTATCTTGGAGTGTAAAAAATAATAACTTGACTCGGGCTAGAACTTGACTTGTGGTCCGATGAAACTCTCGATCTGCCTAATAACACTACTGTATTGATATTTATCAATCGGGGTCTTACTATGGCGCTTGGTGCCACAACACTAGCGATAGGTAACAAACATGAAATATGGACAACGTTCGGTTTTGGAAGAAAATTTGAATTTAGCTTGACGTTTCGTATGCTACAACATACATCTTTAGAAGTAATGGTTATCAAAATTGAAAGAATTACCTTTATTAATTAAATTTAAAGCGAGGTATCGGCAAAAAGTTAGACAATAATTAACCTAAAGTAGTGACACCTGGGCGGTTTTAATAAAGCCACAGTTTTTTGCTGCCGACGTTCGAGGGTGGGTTGAAATCCCGTATTGACAGTGTCTCCTTAATTTTACGATGTAAACCATTTGCTAAGACTTCAAAATGAATTCGAAATTCCGAGAAAATTTCTCGGAATTTTTTAAGCTTTTTAGCCAATTAAGGGAAAGCGTGCACAGAATCCTATCTACATTATAATATAATTAAAAAGTAGCGTTTCTACTCATCCATGATCTTAATTATCTCCTATCCCAGTTAGATCTGGTAGCGGAGTATTGTGCTCGAATTTTTACATGTATTTTAGTCTATCTTTTACAATTTCACAAGGTACTGATAGAATCGAGGTAGTCTTGTTAAGAAGACAAACTAAAGGAAACTATTATTTAAAGGCAAATGTGTATTAAAGCTTAATTAATTCCTTTAGCAGAAATAGCCGTGAAGAATCATTTCCTGTTTGAGAAGAACCAGTTCTACGTCATCCAGATGGAAACCTGGCTTCAACCAGGGGAATATGTCATTAATATGGCGTTTAAATCTGAACTAAGAGAAGAGCTGGGAGGATTCTACAGAATGAATTACACAAGAAAAGACGGAACAATTGTGTAGGCAGTTCATTATTTTTTGGAGCGATTAGGTTTGCGCATGTGCCGATCTTCAATTTACCCAAGCTAGTCGCTTGAAAACTTAAAATTTTTGACCCCCACTTCACTTTGATTTACAGTCAAGAGGAGAACTTTCTACGTAGCTCAAGAAGCCTACATTCGTTTATAAAGCCACCACCACCCATTTTTTGTTTCTTTCAAGCAACTTTGAGGATTTGTGTGTTTTTGTGGGAGGAGGGGTTAGGGAGGTTTTAGAAAGGCCAACTTGAAAAATCTCTTTTAAGGACAAGCACTGAGTAAAATTTTTCCCCATTACCTATCAGTGCTGCGTGTGTATTTCGTTCGAATAAGTGAGGAAAAAATAAACCTGCAATAAATTCTGTCTTTTACAGTTTTAAGTTTCGGGTAGTGATTCCACATTTCTCTTTCTGTAGACCTGTGGCGGCAACTCAGTTCTCCCCAGCAGACGCTCGTAAAGCTTTTCCGTGCTTTGATGAGCCCGCTATGAAGGCGACCTTCAATGTAACCCTTGTCCATGACCCTGGTTTGATTTCCATTTCCAATATGCCTATTTATCAAACTGACGAAAAGGATGGATGGAAATACGATAAATTCGAGAAGTCTGTGCTCATGTCCACTTATCTGGTAGCGTTTGCCGTGTGTGATTTTAAGTATACTGAATTCACTCTGACGAAAGACGCAAAAAAGGTACGCTGCGGCTCCTGTGGCTCTTGTGTTAGTATGACTACTATTTAAAATTAGTAGGCTGATGTCATTCAACCAGTCCCTCCATGCAACTACCCGGAAACTGCGCAGACCACACGTGGTGGGAACTGTTTTCCTTCTCTCTACAATTTATATATTACATTAAAGGATAGAAAACAAAATGGCGAGGGAACCTAATAAAAACCACAGGGCATGTAAACTTAGGTTCCCTCTCAAGAAACACCAGATGACTAATTTAGATAAAGTAATTAATGACAAGCCTTATTTAATGAAAGAGGTAGTAGTTACCGATGATATACGCTTTAAGTTTTTCCTAAAAGATGCCAGTGATGAAGAGCCAGAAATTTCAGGTGAAAGAGAATTAAAAAATTTAGGACCTCGATAGAATACGAAGAAATGCCGGATATTTGTTTTACATAATAGTAGACGAAAGGAGTTTGCATGCCTTGTATTGTAACAATGGATTTGGTTGTTTATTGTGAATATGCTCTCAAATTTTCGAGGGAGAATATCGGTCTTAAACGAGAACACAACCTGACCTAGATAGATAAGGATATTTGAGAGATCCCTGACATTGATAATCAGCAAATCAGGATAAGTACAAGAGGCTGTCAAATTTCCTGAAACCGTTGAATATGTGAAAACAAAAGTGGTATAGTGTTTAGCCGGCCTAATAGTCCTTCAGGGTTTAGTCTGTTAATATTAAAGTAAACGGTAACAAATGTTTTTATCGGAATGTTCTGAACTTGCAAATTAACTCATTCTAGTTTCAGTAACTTCCTATTAAGACCTGTTTATATGTTAGGTGACTTGTTTAAGAAAACTTATGTTGAAATGTTTTGCAATTTTCTCTCTGTATTCTCCAGGTTAGAATGTACGCGCCTCTGGAACAAATTGATCAAGTGGAATATGCGTCCAAAATCACGGATAAACTGTTTACTTTTTATGAAGATTACTTTGAGATAAAATATGCATTACCAAAGTCAGGTGAGACGTCGAACAATCAAACTATATGACATTCTAATCATACAAGAGTGAAGATAATAAAATAAAAAGCATGTCGTTACATGATTTTAAACCAACATATCCCCCTGTGAAATAACAAACAAGGTTTATCAAACAACTATAGATAAGACAAAACACATTTACTGGAAACTACCATTTTATACTGTGTGTAAATCAGGTGCAGTTTTCAAGTTTCAAGGACTAACGGAATACTGGCAACAATTATATACGGACTGTACTCAGTTGGAGCGAAGTCCGTCCCCCAACTAGCTGTTGATCTTCTCACTTTCTCTCAGATATGATCGCCATTCCTAATTTCCTTTTCGGTGGAATGGAGAACTGGGGACTAATAACCTACAGGGATTGGAATCTGCTCTTCAAACCAAATGTATCCTCATCTGCCAATAAACAGAGGGTTGCTGAGGTCGTGTCTCATGAACTTGCTCATCAGGTAACCGCAACATAACATAACATTGACACTTTGACGGGTTACCATCAGCTTCGTCAGTATGGCATACAAACCATAGCATATCACCCTGGCATAGTAGCATGCACTTCCAACCACAGCTCCCTTATGTTTGGTTTGCTTTCTGGTTTGACTCAGGGGGGAAAGGTTTTAAGGAACATGGCTTTCGAGTCTCATTCACTGCCTCATGATATGCCTGTGCTGATGATTTCTAACAAGGACAAAATAGCCGTCCATGGCTATTGAGTAATGAGCTGTGCGCATGCGTACAGGTTAAGGCCAATCACGGAGATGTGTTGTGTAACTGTTACTTTAAAGTTACTTTTTATGCTCTTAGGACTATAATAGTTATTGTATTGATATAATCAGTTTCCCTACCTTGAGCGTTATTCATATTATGCTGTCATATACCGATCCATTTTCAGTGGTTTGGTAACCTTGTCACGATGGAATGGTGGGATGACTTTTGGTTAAACGAAGGATTTGCTAGTTTTATGGAATTCCCGGCCATGGATTACATTCACCCAGAATGGAAAATTGTAAGTAAAGGACATACATTAGTACATTTGAACGATGACATGAACTGAAGAGTCCTCTGTTTACACAGGATGATCAAGTGGTCGTAATTGATATGTCAGCGGCATTTGCAGAAGATAGCTTGGCCAATTCCCATCCGATACGAATTCCGATAACAAGGCCGGAAGACATCAGCCAGATATTTGATTCCATCACATACGAAAAGGTACTCCGACTTATCATGTATGCAATCGCCTTTGCGATCACATTTTAATCTGACCAAACTACAGCTCTGTGCGAAAGAGATGGTAAAGATAATGCATATGGCACTGGTTGAAATCGGCTTTCTAGCTGTTAAAAAGAAACAAATGGACAATGGACGACATCGACAAATCGACCATTTTGTATGTTTTCATTTATTTTAGGGTGCGTGTATTCTACGTATGCTAGAGGCTTATCTTGGAAAAGAAGTTTTTAGGAAAGGATTAAAGGTGAGGGAATAGAGCTTACTGCTTGACTGATGGGAGACATGCAAGTATGGTCACTCCCTTTACAGGAGCATTGGAAGAGACATTTTTATTGTTGTAATGAGACTGATTCGTGTTTCTTTCCAGCATTACTTGGAAAAGTTTGAGTACGCTAATGCAAAAACAGAGGATTTATGGACAGTCTTGGGAGAGGTACGGGCCTATAGGGCAGTAATTTAAAAGATTTAAGAGTTGAATAAAATCCTGCATAGAGTCACCTAAATAATCACTCTCCAAATCCCCTCATCATTAATGAATCGATTGACATGAATGAAAATGAAAACAATGACACATTTTTGAGCTACGAGTTACCTTAAACAAAGTACGAACGACCTAGTGTCTACCTAGGGTAAGGTTTCGAACGACCAAGAGGAAAAAAGAAACTTTTTAACTTTTTTGCTGAGAGCGCAAACCGAGATTCCTTGGAATAGTCAGGAGGTTTGAACAATTGAGGGTTAAAAAGGACTTTATATCCCTGTTGTTACTCTTTGTGATAAGTGAAAATAGCAATTAAAGTAAACGCATGTTCTCAGGAAAGCTGTGTTCAGGGAAGATGCGTTGATGTTAAACACATGATGAACACGTGGACACTTCAAATGGGTTATCCTATAGTAGACATTCGATATTCCAGAGATGACACATACATCATCACTCAAGAGAGGTTCCTTTATTATACCGGTGCCAACATCACGTCCAAGTATAAATCACCATACGGGTAAGAATTTGAAAATTACCGAAATAAAAGCATAAAGGCATGCCGTTAATATGGAGCTGTATTGCGCTGCTCTATAGCTTAAGCTTCTAATTGTCTTGTACAATATAGCTTTATCGATGTTTTGAACTTCTATTCTGTATTATGTCTGAACTATTTTGTAGTTTGTAAAGGAGCTTCAGATTCTATTCTTAGTCACTTGAGAGGAAATCAAGCAAATCTCACTGACAAATTTGGATTCAAAATAGAAAACATTTTAAACTCGAGTAATATATTACATTTGCGTGTTCAGAATAAACATTAAGAGAAAGCATAAAATTTCGTACGTTTTCAATATTATTTTTTGCAGTTACAAATGGTTTGTACCTGTTACATATATCACATCTTCCGCGCCCAACAAAATAATTGCTAAAGAAATAAACATGACATCAGGTAAGTAGTAATAATTTCATTTGTTGAGTTTTACAAATTACATCGGACGCGATAAAACTATTGTACAGAACATGAAAGAAGTATTTTAAAATCAGCCTCGGATTCAAAGACTATAACGGTAAGGAGCAAAGTTGTTTTTGTAAATACACTCTAACGTACCTCTATTGGACACAGATACGATTTCGTGGAATAGAAGCGGTTGGATCAAAGGTAACGTTGGACAGAAAGGATTTTACAGAGTCAACTATGACGATGCAAATTGGGATGCATTGGCGAATGCTCTAAAGACTGACCACAAGGTAGGAAAAGTAGTTACATAAAGTGCCATTTGGAACATAAGACCTACTGCATGCCACTGGGCCATAAACATTGGCTGGAGTCCTGACCCAATGCTTATGGTCCAGTTTCACATACTGAGCTGATTGTGGAAACTTAAGAGTGCTTTGTTGTTGGAGAGAGCGTTTCATCATGAAGTTTCACGCGTTTCCACATCTGAGTATACTACGAGATCACAGCTCTTGGAGGTTGCTATAACACAACCCCGCCACTCTTGTTTTAGATGTACAAAACTGGGGCTGTGTGTGTAGTTTAGTGCACGTCGGCTACTCTGCGAGACAGAGATTCCTTTCTGCTCGGTACGAGACGAGAGGGAACCACTGCTCGCATCCGCTCGATCGATTGATCAGCCACCGTCCACAACAAGTTTCACAACTGACTGGCTTTCAACTAACGCATGACAGAACGGATTCAAAACACTGTCCTTTTGAGAGACTGCCCATTCGACAGTATCTGCTGCCCTGTCATTGGCTAAAAATTAAAATTGCCAGTATTGCACTGCCATGGGTTTGTCACCTACTCATTTAAAAGTTCAAAACTTTTGAATCAATGAAACTGGCATTTTTTTGCTGTTTGCACAGTTCCAGAATTAATTGTTGTACATTAATTCATTTCAAAAAGGTATTCATTGTCAAAGGAACATGATGTAAGGGTTAATAGCTCTTAACTATTTTAAGTGCAGGTAGCTTGCAATGCGCTGGACACTATGGTTTTGAGCAAACCCAATTTATGTTTAATTCGTCCGTTTCTTTGTCGCTCTTTACGAAATGTCTGTAGTTTTTCAAGAAATAAACGGTGAAAAAAGCCTAAATTAATTAATTCGCCACAATTGACCCAAAAATAACTGTAATTTGTTTGCGTGTATGCATTTCGTATGACAAAGCACGACACATGCTTGATTGTGACCTCGTTCGCGCATGCACGATAGGAAATCGAGCGATTGCTAGTAGGGATTCCGTCTAAGATCTCCCACCAAGCTGTTGGCAACCCAAGATTCGTAGGGCTTCTGCGCTCAGAACGTTTAGTACTCTGTCATAGTTGCAGAAGTAAGAAACGAAGACGGAGGTCTCTCACAATAATAATAATAATAATAATAATAATAATAATAATTATAATGATAATGATAATGATAATGAAAATAATAATAATAAACAATTATTGGATAAGGTGTTTGTGATATCCGGAATAATCAAGGGCGAGGTAAGTGTTATCAGCCGAAGCCGAAGGCTTCGGCTGATGTCACTAACCGAGACCTTGATTATTCCGGATATCACAAAAAACCGAATCTATTAATTGTTTTATCATAAATTTTTTTAAAGAAATTAACGACAAAAGCATTATCGCACCGAACACAGTTTATTTTCGACAAACCATGTTCTTACTTCGCTGTCCGTAAACTTGACATTGCTCTTGGAAATCATGCATTGCGCTCGCAACCTGCAGGTTATTCACTAATCTGCTAGCAGATTAGTGAATAATCTGTAGGCTGCGCTGTTTCACAGAATTAACTGTAGGCTTTTAGTCAATGAGAAGACAGATGGTGACTACAATGTATAATAATAATGATGATGATGATGATGATGACAATAATAATTACAGAATGCATGAAAACGAGAAGAAGCGTCGGTACTCAAGCAGAGTTCTCGACGTTGAACACGGAACATTTACGCCCTTAGTATTCACTACAACCAGCGGAATGGGCCAGGAATGCCTGAGGTACCACAGTCGCCTGGCGGAGCGAATAGCGCTAAAGAAGGGAAAACAGTACGCTCAGACGATCTCCTAGATCAGAGCAAAAACGTCGTTTGCACTCTTGAGGAACAGTACGCTAAGACGATCTCCTGGATCCGCCCTCATCTGTTTGAGAGGTTCTAGGACAACCAGGAGAGTTCCCTGTGATGTCAAGAATGCGGACTTTGACGTCGAAACCACAGAGGGAGCCTTCTATTAGTTCCTTTCTTCTTTTTTGGACGAAACTGATTCTTTTTAATATAATGGTGTTTTTTTAGCGTTTTTTCTCCAACTTCTAGAATAAAGGTTCCTACTCAAGGAATGGAAGGGCGCAAACGCCAACTGCATACTAGACTAGGGTGATCCTGTGATCAAGAACATGAACCTAATAAACCCACTACAGAGAGCTGTGCTAGAGGCTTTGTAGAAAGCCAAGGGAAGGTTGAAGTACATAGAGATTTTTGAAGCTATTCAGCAGTATTGGAGGGTGTTGGGTGGCATTTAATGATAATAATGGCATTTCTTTAAGCACGATGAAATTACGGCACAGTTGATGTGGTCGCGTATCCTGTGGTAAATTATTACTGCCCCAATGTGGGAAGCAGCGTGTTAGGGTTAGGCCTAGCGTTAACCTTAACGTTGTCATTCGAAGGTGAATACGAGATCACTATTATCATACATATAACTTTTTGACCAGGGGAAGAGCATATGCTGGTGTAAACAGGGCGAGCTGTGTAGGGTATGGATGAGATGGAGAAGTAGTCATTTGCGTTTGAGTAGACGAAGCTCAAAAGGGCGCTTGGGCTACTTTGAGAAGCAGGACTGAAACAGGAGCGTTAAGTGGTCAGACGTTTAGCCAGTGGAACCTGTAAGAGTCGGGAAGCGCCTGCGTTCATTTTCTGACCTTTCTACAACCCCTGTCAACTTGGACACCGGCCATGTACACGCAATAGCAAGTGGAATCCCTAGAGCACATCCGAGCTTGGTATGAGCATTCACTACGTCTATGGCGTCATAATTGGTGTTAGAGAATCCGGTTTCTGTGCAGGAGCACAGCTCCTGGTTCTTTGAATGAGGGAACTAAGCTAGAATTTCTATTATTTGGTCTCCCTATTTTATTTCAACCGTAAACCGCTTCAAACTGGCGCTGAGGCTACAAAAGGTTTTGTTGCTAGCGCCTATTGTTCTATGGGCGACCAATGTGAAATGGGCTCATAAGAGGAGGTTTATTGGCATATGGTTTGAAAAATCGACTGGAAGAGCTTGTTAGGTAGGATGTGATAAGGTGACTGTACAGATTGGAGAGTCGGCGTGGACTTGAACCTCGAGAAGCTAAGAGGTAGTCTCTTTATGCTGCTGATATGGTCCTCCCTGGACGAAAACCACTGCTACAAAGGTCTAAAAGAAAGAAGTGGTTCCAGTTCATGGTGGGAAGGGCCCAGTTTTGTGCAAAATTTTAGATACAAAGTAGACAGATAGATTTTAATATTTAATAGAAAGAATGGCGACATTTTAGATCTCCCTATTTACCTCCAAGTTAAATGTTCCTAAAAATGTAACAAAATTCTAGGGCCGGGTCTACCTGCAGATATTTCACAGTTACAATCTGGAATGAGTCCGCTAGTGTGCAATAAATGTTCCAGCTCACGAGAGAACTAGAAGTACACATCAAGGGTTTTTCTCTTTAGGTATTGAATATTTCAGACCGTGCTGGAGTTATTGATGACGCTTTTGAGCTAGCAAGGTAGGCTGTATATTTCTTCTTCTATGTCTCCAACATGTTGTTTGATAATGATGCAAAATAATAGTTCTAATCGTAGAGCAGTAAATTTTCTTCTGTACATTGAACTTTAAAAGGAGCGGGAAGCTGAACTACACCAAGGCATTAGAAATGACGTCGTATTTGCAAGCTGAAGAAGACTATGTTCCATGGCAAGCCGCCATCAAGAGCTTCAATTTCATCAAAAGCCTTTTAACGCCAACCAGACCCGCATACAAATACTTGCAGGTTGGTTTAACTTCTGAAAGTTCTATCTCATGCATTCATTGCTTAATTGTAATTAGTAAGAAAAACCATAAATGGAACACAAATTGAGCATTTTCCGTTTACACTATCTGGACTTTATCGTGTCAAATACAAATTCGGTGACATCAATATTGGACGTGCTATGATACGATAAGATGGCATTGGGACTCTTAATAGTTGGAAATCAGTTGGGATCCTTAATGGTTTATGTTCTATTTGCAGTATTTGGTTATTTATTTACAGTGTCCCCAGTTAGCACAACAGTGCTAAATACATTCGAGACTTAAATAAAGTT